ATTTTATTCTAGGCACTGCAACTTTCTGTAATAGTACAAAATTCCAGAAGATCTGGTAAACACAACTGCTGATTGTGTTACTGATGGCTACAAATAGGCAACCACACATTCAAATAAGCCAACAAAGAGTAAGAAAGGAGTTGCCTCCCCTTTTATTCTTTTCATTAGCACTCTGCCTAAAACAAAATCAGTCAAGAAAAAAAATTGTTTGTCCTGTGAAGACCAAGCTATTGGGCACAAGAGTTTAATTGTATACAAAATTTACTCTTTTCTCTACCCCTTCAATCCATGAAAAAGAAGGGCATTCGAAATTTGAGAAATTACAACGAAAAGGAGGGAGAAAAAAGCCAGCTGTGGCTATGTCACCTCTTTCCGGTATGCATGTAGTGGAAGCCCTCGTTGATCTGGTCCATAGGCAGGGTGAAGGTCACAAACTCGTCTACCATGAGCTCCTTATTCATGTACTCCTTCACAAGCTTAGGCACAGAATCACGGCTCTTCCAACCTGATCAAAGACCACAACAAGAAGGCTTGATGTTTTTGCACTGGAACTACATCTGCATAAAACTGTAGTTTTTAAGTCTCTTTCGCTACGTCCCTGTTTGTTCAAGCACTCCGTGTGAAGCTCACTCATAGTAATAGTCCATCTTTACGACTTTAACATGCTATAAATGATAGAACAGGTTTTCAAGCAAACCACAAAGTCAAACAAAACATCACAATTTCCCACAACTTTTATACCTATTAGTTGATTCCAATGCCTTTTACAAAGAGGTGGGCGTTTCTGCTTAAACAGAATCTTAAGCACAACCTTACCATAAAGAACATCTTATATAAATATCGAAAACATTCAATTAAAAAAATAACAACAGGAATATTTAAAGAGTAGGCTCTATCTCAAAAGTGAACAAATCGACTGTGCAGTGTAAGACTGGCATCACTTATGGCGTATGGCAGATTCTTACATTGAACAGTCAAAATATAAGATTGTAGAAGGCTCAAATTGTGAATAATTTAAGAGGAGACACTGGGCTGTAAAGGGATAACACTCTTAGCTACATGGATGTACATAGCCCACGTAACATTCTATATAAAGGGTAATTTAAAGAAAATCTTGTCCTTCAGCATGAAAATGCCATTCCAAGCATTGGCCAGTGGAACTGGAGGAAAGTGAAATGATTTATTACCCGCCCGGTAAGAGAGGGAAGCATGGAAAGTGTTTGTTCGTGGCCTCTATACTCTGACCCAGGATGGGGAAGGCATTGATGATGAAGAGGCCCGGAAAGGTCAGACAGGCTATGGCCAAGTGTATCCCTTTGAGATAGAAACTTGAGTGCTGTACAGAACCAAATTAATGCTTTCTACCCCACCCACTAAAAAAATGGCACTATCAGAGATGCCAACCACAGAAAACCGAAATGAGTATTGGTAAATATGAAAATGTGTATTTTCAGGGGGAAATGTGTATTCCTCACCACCGACGGACCAACTAGTAAAATGTTCAGGGTGTCCTGCAATATTTCCTTTAAAAAATTTACTAGCTCACCAGCTCAAAAAAGCGAGCACACACGTGTACAATATACATGTATCCAGTCAACAACATGTTAGTGTTCAGTGTCGTACTGGGGTCTTGTTTGACTTAAGTATTTCAGTCTTTTAAGATATTTTCCTCTCATTATTATATAAAAAATAAATCCTGCTTTGAGCGTTCAGAAGGGCCTAGAACAAGAATTTCAACAATCAAGAACCAGTCTGGGTATCATGATTCTTATTATGAACTGACATAATAAAATTATTGCTCAAACTCAGTTTTAGTAGAGGTTTTATGGCGCTCACAACTGCATAAGGTCATATGAGCGCCAGAAGATTAGAGGTGTCACAAGAGAGTAACAAACAAAAAAAAGAAGAAGGGGAGATAAAGACGATAGATGTTTGATAGGAAAGAAGAAGCAAACCACACCAGAGCACCCGCCAACCACCCACGCTCAAACTCAGAGAAGAGCAATAACTTGAATGGCTCAAGTAGACCCACGCAGTGTGAGAGTTGTAACAACTGTGGGAGGGCAAGATGCAGTGACACTGAAAATCTGCCAGTCTTGAACAGAAAGCTACAACATACACTGTAGGTATAATTTACTAGATTCTAGATCTATTACCCATCCAATGAAACGCAAACACTTTATTTCAATAACACAGATTTGCAAAGTATGAAGGATCCCCGATTCCCCACACGGCCTGCACCAACTCGCGCTTTGCAGAGAGCTATAATCAAAATTCTGAAATTTGCTTCCAGGTTTTTGTCCTCTGGTGTTGCCATCACCCCTCCCCCCCCCCCCCCCCTCCCCTGAGTGTATCTTTTTTAAAAAATCAATAATCCCCTCCCCTATTCCGTAGTCCTATACTTCGCAAGGCCGTTACTCCCACCAAAGACAGTCTTCGCTCACACGATGCCGCATTTATTTAAGATGCGAATGCGCGCAGGGTCACTGACCGGTCACGATGGCGAGCCAGACAATCTAAAAATCGGACGACGCTTGTATTTTCTTTTCTTTTTTTTCCCACAAGTGACAGCACAGAGACGAGTCCGAGTGTTGAATAAATTTTATTTGCGCGGCAACACAGCGTTTACTCTGCACAACCTGCATTGTCACAAATATTCGGTTATCAGACTACCCCTGGCAAACTTCTCGGTGGTAACGAAAGCAGATCTTGAACTTGATTTTCCCTATCGAGCCTCGGTGTCACATACACTTCTGCCTGCCGCCATAGCCGCCTCTTCGCGTGAGAGTGAAACATACTCTCGGACGGTGAAAAGCTGAACGAATATAATATCACAATCGCGACCGGCAAAAATGAACCTACTGACCTTATCGGACTTGGTTTTCAAATATTCCAGTTCCGTGATACTGAAACTATTTTGACAAAAGATGGGACTTGAGATAATTAGGTTTACTCGACCAAGCTGAATCTCGTATTTTTCGCATTCCAGGATGCGTATTTTTTCATGAAAAGTCGTATTCGCATATTTTTGGCCAAAAATCGTACTAAAATACGTAAAATCGTACTGGTTGGCATCTCTGCGCTATAGCTTTTCAGGTCAAGTGTTACTTCCACCCCCCCCTCCCCCCTTTTAAGTGTTACTTTGTCTCCCTGATGACAAGCATCACTTTATCTCGACCCAGGACAAAACTTTCTTTACCTCCACCCAGGACAAGCATCACTAGAACTTATCCAACTTATCCTGACAATTTACCTCCAAAAGCTGAGCCCCTCCAGACACGGCCAGTGACCAGCTGGAACGGTCTGGTGCTGATCTCCTGTCCGGCGGCAGCTACACCAATGATGACTGCCTCACCCCAGCCTTTGTGGCAGCACTCTAAGGCCGCACGCTGAGGGAAGACAAAACATGTGAACCGTGAAAGACAGAAAAGAGAAAAAAACACAAAGACCTTAGTCTCAACCAACAAAGGAAAAAGCACACCTGACAATTTTAATTTGTACTTTTTTTTAGCAGTTGTCAATGTTGGTTTGAAGTTTAAAAAAACACAAAACCAGAAATCCAAAAATGCTAATATTACATACAGAAACAAGACAAAAAGCAACCTAAGTCCCAATCAAAGACAATACCTGCTTGCTGAGATCAATAGGCAATTGCTGAAAGCAGTCCAAGGATAAAGGCTGAGATACACTAACCTCTCATTCACAGTACATTGAAACAAGGGGGTGGAGCCAAGTAACTGTACACAGAAATGTACAACAAAATTTTACTGCAGTTGTTTCCCTTAGCCTTAAATTTAAATATCTGCTCAAATTTGCTCCGTCTTATTTTTAGAGAGTTTTAATTTTAGCAGGTTTTACGGCGCTCGCAACTGCACAAGGCCATATGAGCGCAAGAAGATTAGAAGTGTTACAAGGGAGTACAAAACACAAAAATTAAGAAGGGGAGATAAGGATGATAGATGTTTCATAGGAAAGAAGAAGCAAACCAAACCAGAGCACCCACCAAACACCCACTTTTTTTTTGGGGGGGGGGGAGGTGAGAAGCTTAGCAGATACGACCTTTAAACATAAAGCATATCATGCCAGAGCAGCCTGAAAACCGTAGAATAAAATATATCCAGTAAGAAATTTTTTCTTGAAGTCCTGAAAAGCCCTTCAATAATCATTGCATATGTGTTACTTCCAAGTGAGCCATTATCGATCATTTAAGAGATAGTATACATTGCACATACTGGTCAGAGCCAATCTAGATAATGTTGAATAAAACTCCAGCAGACAGATGGAAATACTCGACAAACTATCACCCCCAACCAGAGAATCGAACTCAGATCCTTTTAAAGAAAGAAAAAGAGCTTAACCACAACACCACGGACTCGGCTCTGTTACTCCCTCTTCATTAAGAACTTCACACAGATGGTATCCACCAGTACTTCGCAGACAAACCTGTGCAAACTAACAAATCAGAGGCAGGATCCTTACCATCGTCTTGACGTTGCCGATACACTCAAACGTGTAATCAAAGCCGCCATCAGTCCGCTCCATGACCAGTTCTTGGATTGTCTTGTTGGGGAATTCAGCAGGGTTGATGAAATCAGTGGCACCAAACTTCCTAGCTGTGACACAAAACACACATACATATAATAGATATATACTTACATATATACATATATATTATATAAATATATACATATATATTATATATATATATATATATATATATATATATATATATATATATATATATATATATATATATATATTTATATATATATATATATACACACATATTATTTATATATATATATATATATATATATATATATATACACATTATTTATTTATTTATATATATATATATATATATATATATATATATATATATATATATATATACACACATATTATTTATATATATAAATAAATAAATAATGTGTAAATATATGTGATCATTCTACATCCATGTCAGTAAAAACATTGTTTGAGAAAGGAACTGAAAACTTTTTTTTAAAAATCAGAATGTAATGCCTTGTTGAAAATACTTTCAATGTGCAAGTCTGAGGCCATACTTGAAGAGAATAAGGGATTTTCTCAAGAGATAAAAAATCATTGTATGCACTACAGACCAAAACATTAAAAGAATGTGTGCAGCTAAATGTGACAATAATTATTGTTCAATATTTTTTCATAGGGATTGCAAATGCGTAAAGAAGTTAACAGTAAAAAACTTTAAGACCTTGATCAAACCTACCAGTTTCAAATTTATCTGGGTTGATGTCAATGCCAAAAATCTTGGACGCCCCTGCTTTCTTACAGCCCATTAAGACAGCCAGACCCACAGCTCCCAGACCCCACACTCCACACACAGAGCCAGGCTCCACCTGGAGAGAATGACACGAAAGAACTATTTCATTTCAGGAAACAAAGTGCACCCCATGACAGTTCCATCAAAGTATCTATCTCTAAAATAACACATAGAATTATCAGATGTCACCATAATGACCGTGACTATCAATAAATTTCAGTTATGAGAAGAATATCGCCCGCTGACAAGCTATTCAAAATCAGCAAGACCGTTTGGCTAGTGTCGTCTAGTCGTTGCTATTGATGCATCATGAAGATATACAGCCTATACATGTCTGAGTTCTGTGCATACACTTCATTTTTTTCTTCACTTCGCTGATGAGCATCGTACAACATTTTCTCCATTTCTCGAATTGACATATTTAGATGCAATCTTTGCTCCTTGAGTGAATTACAAAATAAAAAGACCCTGGCCCTTGTTACCTTGGCGTTATTCAAAGCTGCCCCGTAACCCGTGGAGATGCCACAGCCAAGAAGACAGACTTTGTCCAGGGGAGCATTTTCATCAACCTGAAAAGAGAAAAAAGCCATTGAAACATGAAACAATACAGAATACAATCTTCCAAAATTACTTGCACATAATTTCACAATTATCAAAAAAAGATTCCAAACTTTATCCCATAACATCCATTCCATAATTTTTGAATCCATGAAATAAAAATATGTCAAGCTGCTAACCACTATATTTTTTAAGAACAAAGAATACGGAGAATGAAATATGTGGGAGTAATCTCTATCAACGTTTTTAGAAGCTTTTCATGGAATGAATGCTGAATCTACCAAATTTGCTCCCAGCGTACATAAACTTCATCTGATGCTTTCCCTAGAATGGAAGGTGTTGGTCTGGATACAGCACCATACCCACAAACAAAGAAAAAAGGCATTATATTTTTATATATATATACAGTGGAACTCGGATTCAACGAGGTCGCCGGGCCTGGCCTAAAATCTCGTTGAATCCGAGTGTTCGTTATAGCAAACACGAGGTTTTATGTAGACAATTACAGGCACAGAGCAAGTAATGTACAAAGAAGTCACAAGTAGTGCCTGAAATGCCTGCATATTATGAGCTGCGTAACAAAAAAAAATAGACCCGATTCGTTCAAATGCTCACGCCTTTGTCATCTCGATTGTTTACCAAAAAGTTGTGTTGCTGTGTAGAGCCTAGCATAACGGCAACTTTTGATTTCATAGACCAGCGCACAATTCATCATTACGTAGATCTACGTCAGGACTAGATCTAGCTTACCATTGTAATAATGATCAGTTGCCGAGGGGGGGAAAAGACTGACGCATTTCTGTGACGTTCAACGTCCAGACCGCTAGTGCCCCCCCCCCTCTCCCCGACACATACACACACAGTCACACGTGTTCAGGCTGCCCATCCGACTCCGACACACGCCAGAGTAGACTTGTGCACGAGCCAACAACGCATGCGTTGGTATGAAAAAAGGCCGCTGATTGGTCGCATGCAATCGGCTAAGTGAATAATGGTTCACGATGCAGTTGCAATGGATGGTTTCCGGGAATAGATAAAGTTTGTTTTGGGAGAAAAATGAGCGAAGCCACGTCTGCTTGGGCTGTTTACCCTGGAAGCGACCTCGTTGAATCCGAGCTCGCTGATTTAAGTGCTCGTTGAATCCGGGTTATTTTTATTGATTTTAAAGAAGAAAAAAAACGGGGAATCTATCTCATCTCGTTGAATCCGAGCTCGTTAAATCTGAGTTCCACTGTATATATATATATATATGAGGGCTTCTACAATTTCACAATACATGACCCTGGGCCTGGATCAATCACTTTGAGTGTTGACAGAAGTTGAGAACAAAAACAACAAACTTCAATTTTGCTGGCTCTCCTTTCTTCTACACCCAGTATAAACACAAATTTTCTGTGTTTAAATGGTCTGATTCTGTCATTCAAAATGAGGAGGCATGAGCCCACAATAATGGCTACATTACAGGTGAAAATACGTCTGACTAAACTGGCCATCACATTGCCACAACAGATCTGAGCAAGACTAAATCATCCTAGGACACATAAAGGGGTACACCTACTTTTGCCACTGAGATCTCAGCACACACGGTGTACTCTGCGAATGTGCTACAACCCATGAAATGGTAGAGTTCCTTCCCCTTGCATGTGAATCTGCGAGTTCCGTCTGGCATGAGACCTTGACCTTGAGTGACCCTGTTGAGAAATTTTTGCGACAAAACGAAAGAAAATGAAAATAAAATATGGTGTTACACTGGTGGACAGAAAATTTTCACTGCAAACTGACTTCATAAGATCAGGTTTGTAACTTTGCCTACAGTAATATGTGAGGCAAAATAGTGAAATCATGCACTCGTCAAAATACACAAATCGGAAAACAGGCATTTTTTGCCTTGTTTGGAAATTTTTCTTGAATTTTTATTTTTTGGCACAACCTCTTTCATTTTCATGTACATATTAAAACACATTTCCATGTGAACTTTATTGAAAAACATTTATTAAAATTAAAGGCACAAACTATGTCATTTTTCTGTTTTCAAGGACTCTTTTAGCTATTTGAGTTATCAAACATTGGCGGCCATTTTCTTGCTAATTTCCACACTGAAACCAGGCGACCTCACTTCCTTCAATTGTAGATATCTTCAGTTCTATTCAAGATAGATGGATATTTATTTCATTGGAAGCAAGGCAAATAAATCAGCTTTCAGATAGATGATACCAATAACTCTACAAGCCCCAAAATTGACGAGCGCCAGATTTCATCACGCCGTGACACATCAATATTACTCTATGGCTTGGAGTGAGGAAATTACACAAGTCATGATCCAACAGTAATGCTTTGTGCCCTCAATGAGAAGCGACCCGCTTCGACCCCGCCTGAAAGGGCCAATCCCAGCTGTGAAATCTACTGTATCCCAACAGCAGAGATGCTCTATATAATACTTTACACAAGTGAAAACAGAACTAAGACCTTTGGCATGCGAAGAGAAAAGCCTAACATTCCACCACATGCATACCTTAGTAATGACTGAATAATGGAAGGACATGATAAGATGGGGGGGGGGGAAGAGGTATCATGAGCGAAGAATCAACACCAATCCTATACAACACAGAATGGTGCAGTCCACATGTATGGCTATCTCTTTGCAGTGCTCCCTTCCACCCTACCCACCCAATTAAATATATCTTTACATGTCTACAATTAATTCTAGACTCTCTTTATACAAACAATAGTAGGAACAAGAGCCTGACAGGGAGAGACCGAAGAAATACTAGTAGTTCAGCTCACCTGATTTTCTGACAGAGGTTGGTCTTGGGGTTTTTACAGAACTTGCACTCATAACACTGAGGGGTGTACAAAGGGATCACATGGTCCCCTGTAGGAAACAAACATCTCAGTAAATACAAGTTTCACACACAAGTACTACTATTTTTTTCTTCATTCATTTGAAATCGAATTGGAAAGTTTTCTACAAGATAATGAAGTTCGTTACCAAACAAAACAACTAGCTGACACTTTTCCACATCATTTAAAAATGTAGTCACACTAATAAAAGACAGAATGAAAAGAACATTTTTTAAATCAATAAAAACAGCATAAAAACATTCCAAAATGTTTGATAAGACCAACTTAAAATACACAAACGAAAACAAATTACACATTTGACATTTGATGCCATTTGATAGATGATGTAACGCAAAATACTGAGTCGAACAACACAATCAATATCTGACGAGGGTGGTATGCAAGAAAATCTGATCTGACTACTAGTGTGTATAGCGGAGCTAAATTAAGATATCCTGAATAGGAGAGTGCTGATTTTGACAACAGAGCCATCCAAAATTTGTTGCGCAACTAATTGTCAAATATTTCCTGAACAATCAAACATAGACTCTCCAGCTTTCGCAGAATGACATGTATCAATTTGTCTAAACAAATCAATATTTTTGCTAACACCTGATAGCTGTATTCTAGAAAATTCCTTAATAAATACTAACAAAAAATCCATGTGGGCGGTTTCTGCAGATTTTTAAATGTTTACAGCTAGGACATTACCACTTTTAAAAGTCTGTCATTTTTTTCTTCTAATTGCGACATTATGTTTATTGAAAGCATGTTTTGAGAATCTTTAGTGCAAAAAATATGTTCACTATAAAATTAATTTCTTGTAAAATGTTTTGCCACTAAAAAGTGTCATTGGTGAGCTGTGACGTTGGTGATATCTGGATGCAAAATTTGTGCGAGAAGCGCATTTTCCATGTTGACGGAGATTTATAGTATTTTATACAAAGTTATGAAGAAAAGTTTTTTAATCTAGCTTCAATTGTTGTTGGAAAATATGATTAAGTTAAGACAAATTGATACAAACTGCTGTGCAAAGTATGGGTGACATTGATTACCCCATTGAAAAGATATTTAAGGATAAGTTGCGCCACGAATTTTTGACCGCACTATAATAGTAAAGAGACATCTTCCAAACCTATAATTAAAAACACATTCACACAATACTGAAAAAAATGTTTGGAACAGACTGAACAAGATTCATAGAAAGAAAAGATAGATACAGTCGACTACGAATGAGTTGAAGCCATTGGGGGAGAGAAAAAAGATCAACTCATCCGAAGTTCTAACTAAAATTGTTGGGATCTATAAAGAAGAAGAGGTGCTGAGACCTGAGAAAAAGATCAACTTAATCAAAGACCAATTCAAGCCAGTTCAACACAAGTGGAGTCGACTGTACTAGCAAGACTTTCATAGCTGAAAAAAAAAAGCGCTTAATGCACTGACCTGGGGCGACTGATTTGACTCCCTCTCCCACACTTTCCACAATGCCACCGCCCTCATGACCCAACACAACCGGGAAGATACCTTCAGGGTCATGTCCGTCAAGTGTGTATGCATCTGTGTGACACACACCCGTAGCAAGAATCTGAAAAATTCAAAAAATATTCACACTCATGGACACTCATATACAGTCATTTCTAATGCAAACATCAAACATTTAAGATACAGTATTATTAATTGTAGCGTTTTATATATAAAATGCCTAATATGCTTTCATTGAACTTAAAACAATATACTATCTCCATCAGTTTCACAGACAGTACCGACATGCAAGCATTCAAAGACGTTGGCAAAATATATTTTTCAAATTTAGTGTCTATTGTGTAAAAATTAAGAACTTGTCATTTGCTGTCCTTTCTTCATTATTGAAATTAATTCAAAGTAGTAAAGAGAAATGGGCCACTATGAAGACGAAGGATGTGGTCATCCAACAGGACTCAAAGCTGACAAAAAATGCTCTGCGAAAGAAAACACTTAGGACTGCTCTCAGATTCAAATCTCAAACTTCAACATGTAACTCACATTCTTAATCAAGAGCAGCTACATTATAAATGTTGGCTGAGCATTCTACATTTTCTCACAAACTGTTAAAGCTATTACAGGAACAATTGTTTGTTTGTTTGTTTAGTATAGGGTTTTACGGCGCTCGCAACTGCATAAGGTCATATGAGCGTGCGGGACACACTTAATACTTTTTCGTTGGTAGGAAATTTTGAATTATGCCCGGGTGGCGGCCGAAGCCTACTCTTATCAATTTTAGACCACCAAGGGATCTTTAACGTGCGCAACTTGCACACGGGCCCTCCGAGATTTTTCGCCCTTGTCCGAGAAGGCTAGGTGTAGATCTTTCCTACCAGAAGATCAGGGGTGTGGCAGAAAGACAGCAGTTAGGAAGAGCCAAGGAGTAGCAGTAGAAAGGCTGCAGAAAGAGTCAGGAGCCCAGAAGAGGGGGCAAAGGAGGTGAGGGGGTGGGGGCAGAAAGTGGAAATGAAAGCAGACAACAGATCAGGAAAGGATGTGAAAGGAGACAATTTTAGAGAAGAAAATTTTTTGGTCGCTACCCGGAATCGAACCCGTGACCTTTGAATGAGAGGCCAACACCTTAACCTCTAGGCCACGAGAGCCCCCTACAGGAACAATACAAAAAAGAAAATTTCTTACCTTAATTCTCACTTCCCCTGCTCTTGGTGGAGCCACTTCTATCGTCTCTATGCTCAAGGGTTTTTTGGCCTCCCATGCCACAGCAGCTTTGCATGAAATGGGCTGTGAAATGAATGATTTACAACACTCCTCATTTTAAAAAATAAAAATCAAGACATCAAATTTTGTTAAGTGTGAATAATAATACCATTGTTTACACATAGTGTATGGACATGCAGAGTTGTCGATACAGTAGAACACAGCTATAGCGGGACTAGAAGAAAAATCCTGCAGTATGCGAGATATCTTTAAAAATCCACATGATTACATCCCTTCCAAATAAATAAATTTGCGCGTTAAATTAGTTTTCCTTTTCTTGTCAACCACCTCGTTGATTATCTTGGCCTTTAATTCGACAGAGTAGCATTTCCTTTTGTCTTTGTTGGAAGCCATCTTTTCCTCAGCCTCATTGCTTGTGCTGTCTATCATACCGGTAGGCCTACGTGGATGCGTGCATATGCCCATGAGCATCAATTATCACAATTCAGTGAATCAGGAATCACACACTACACGCTCTCCCCTTCTTTTACTTTTTGGCCTAGCCTAGGGCTATGGCCTATACGTTCTCATACTGAGCATCTAAGCTACGACACATCACTTTTGAGTGGCTCACGTAATGAGTCTCTCCGCACCATCTCTCTCTCTCTCTGCCGCGCGCCCCACCTCGCTCATCACTGGACTGGCCAATCATGATGCCACACCGTTGACTGCCTGTTAGGAGCCCGCCTACAGCGTCCCTAACCCCCTTCCCCCCAGCTAGAGCTCCCTCGATCTCTCTCGTTGTATCAGAGTTCTGGTTTTTCCAAGCCCCACTAAACCCGAAAACAGGTAATTGAGTTTACATAGAGAAAAAAAAGGGGACTCCGGTAAGGTCCCACTGCAGTCATGTTCTGTAGTCCTGATGGGACTTTGAGAAACTTTGATAAATATTATATAATCATGACCGCTAAATGAGTTATCTTTCCTCCGGCAGATAGCTCTGCCACCCACTAATTATCCGACTATCAACATGTTTTGCTTTAATCGGGAATACTTGGACTTGGTATTCCATTATGACAAGTTTTCAACTTGGGCTGGCTTCCGTTAAGGCAGGTCTTGTTCAACTGTAGTTACTCCGACAAATGTTGTGTTGGAATGTATGAGAACTAAGATGTATTGTTATCTTGGTCTCGACCTAAATCATTGGAATATTTTTTTTTGGTATTTTTTTTTGAGTGGATTAATTCATTTAAATTCTTAATAGCCAGAGCACATTAATTGCCAATCAAATTCCCTTGAACAGAGTCAGGGCCAGCCAGATTTTCCTCCATGAAAGGGCAGAAGCTACCATGATGGCACAATTTGACCAAATTCAATCAAGACCTTCAAAGCAAACACATTTGTTTTTCAAGGTTGCGAGTACAGTGTGCGTGCGGAATGCGGTATGGACAGTGTCCATTTGGAGAAATTGATACCGACAGATCTAAAATGCTATCAACATTTCCAATACTGTAGGGTTCATGCACCTTTCAACACAGCAACAGCAATAATATCCTGCAGTCAGCACTTGAAACCATTATGGAAGGAAATGGCTGCATTGGGAACGGATAGTTTTGCGTTCAAATTCAATAACACCACGCTTCCATTACAGTTTTCTATTCTTGTCAAATCTGACGCAAGAAGGGAGGGGTATCTGTGTAGTGTGCACTGAAGCCACCATTGATCAACTCGATGTAATCCAATCAGGTCCGCAAGGGAACCCCGTAAAACAAACAATAACAAATACAGTGCTCTTCAGGAGCAATCAATAAAATTTTAACAAGCTTCAGGTATTCTTGTAGGATAAAAAATGTAATGCCAGCCCACTTCACATTCTACTGCAAAGTTTCCATTCTACTTGACAGGCCACCACCAGAACAATCTGACAACTGTCCACCATGACAGTCTCCTAGTCTAGTTCATTAATGACTGTGAGAAGGGGGGGGGGGAGCGTAAAGGTTGGTAAGGATTTGGATCCTTACCGCCGCCTTTCGAATCCAGAGAGCGACGGATGTTTTTCTTCACTAACATTTTCTCCTTTCATATCCTATCCTGCTCTCTAACAATGTTCTGCTGTCTGCTTTCGCCTCCTATTTCTGCCCCCACCCTCAACCTCCTTTTCCCCCTCCTCTGGGCTCCTGACTCTTTCTGCAGCCTTTCCACTGCTACTACTTGGTTCCTTCTTACTGCTGTCTTTCAGCCACACCCCTGATCTTATGGTAGGCAAGACCCACCTGTAAAACATTTATTATCAACATTGTTTTTAGATAACAGATACCGTGAGCTTCAAAACTAGGTAATATTCTCTATGAAGTACAAGCCTTACCCCCCCCCCCCCCCCGTCAAAAACTATTCTGCTTAGGGCCTAACCATAGCTTTACAGTAGTTGCACTTTGGATCCCCGTGCTTGAGAACCAGAGCTGGTAGTAACGGAGTACAAGTACTCCGGTACTTGTACTTACGTTACAATTTTCGGTACTTTTACTGTACTCCGGTACATTTTTTAAACCAGTACTTTTACTGTACTCCGATACTTTTTATAAAAGTACTTTTGAGTACTTTTTAAGTACATTTTGAGTATTTTGGTAGCTTAATGAAAGGGTAAGTGCAGGCATTTCTGATCATAATTTACGGAGCAAAAACCCGATCGACCGCCAAGAGTTAAAAGTTGAGATCAAAGAACGGCCCGTCGCCTCAAAGATCAGCCACTATCGTGAATGTGATCACAAGCGTTGTAAAACTCCTTGAAACGGTACAGTGTTTGCTCCAGACGGGATCACACCAAGGTGTGAACTGACCGATGCGTTTCTTTTCCCCAAACATCGCACTCGCATCTGACCTCACCACCTAAACTTACATCAGTCCCTGGGTGGGTAGGGCCTACAAGTTCGCTCCAGTCGGGATCACATCAAACTGTGAACTCTTCCCTGGGGGACTCAATCAGAGATGGAAAGCTAAAATTGTTGGACAGGTAAAGGGGAGGGGCAACTGGATAAACGTAGATAAAGAATCATAAAGATCTCAAGACTCACGATAGGCTAATGAGTGTGTATATATAATATTATTTATGGCATGCCTCATGCCACTGTGATTGGTAATCAAGGTTGACCACTCTTTGCTTGCCATATGTCATAAATCCACCCAGAGGTCACGTCAGTTCATGGGTCACTGTAGATTCTTCCTCGGCTTCGTTGGCTAAGATCCCATATTTTCCTTGCTTCCGAGCACTGGGATCTTAGGCGGTGACTACTGCAGTAGAGAATCTTTGGTTACACTACACTTACTAGACTCTAGGAAACTATTGTATTTTGGTTTGCCGTTGGCGCCGTGGACTACACAGTGTGACCAAAATCTGTCAGACCACTATAATCAATTGAAACTGAAACTGTGTTCTCAATGTGTATCTAACAATTTTTAGGCTGCCTAAATTTCTTTTAAACTTTTTTTGGGTGGTTTCTGCTTAAGGCTACATTGATTCCTTGAGGATTTGTTAATGAAGAATTCAATGCACTTTTCCATTTCTAAGCGGGCCATTTTCATCAATTTTATGTTTTCTTAAGAGCAACTTTGTATCTACATTTTTCAATTTGGATACTCTTTCTGTAGAACTTTCCGACCTCTAGGACTGACTTACATTTGATCACATTGTCTTGCTCAAACAAGTTCTATTCATAATATCACTTACCCACTAGTTGCGTCTGTTCGTTTGGGTTGTTTTTTGTTCAACTTCACGGACCATTTCCACCGTTCAGTGCGTACATTGTATATTCAAATGCTTTGTATACTGTTTACATTTTTAGTAATAAATAGCCTAATTTGTCAAATATACTGGATAAGTTATAAAATATGATGTTTTGCATAAGCGATGAAGTGTTTTAGCATATTAGCAGAAAGTACTCAAAATGTACTCATAAGTACTTTTTTTTAAAGTACTTGTACTCAAGTACATTTTATAGGAAAGTACTTTTACTGTACTTAAGTACATTTTTTAGATTGTACTTAAATTTGTACTTAAGTACTTTTTAAAAAGTACTTTAACAGCTCTGTTGAGAACAAGGAAAATATAGACGGAATATTTAAAAAATGGAATCCTACTAATTCATGAAAGGGAAAACAAAAATTCACTATGAATCATGCTATAGTAGAATCCTGTTATAACGAGAGGGAGGGGACAGGTACAAAATGTCCGTTATAGCAGGATTCTTGTTATAAGGGATCCAGTAATAAATTCAAAGGAAATTATAAAGTAGGCATAACCTATATTTTTGGTGTTCTGTTCATTTTTTCTCGTTATCACCCCATGTTTGGGTTTTTTTTTATGTCAGGGGGGCAACCCCTCTTGTCTTCTGAAAAACAAGTGAAATTTTACTGCTCATTTTGTAGGCTAGATTTAGATCTAGGCTACTGGTAAAACTTAAAACATTGATACCGACTATTTAAATCAGTATCGATATTTCAGTAGGTTTAGGCCTACACAAGTCGGGACCACCATAGATCTATTATATCCAAGTAGTACATTGATCTAGATCTAGATCTAGATTCTAGTCTAGGCTAGACCTACTAGATTTTAGATCTACCGTTCAACATCATGACCCTCCAGCAGTCCTGCAGAGAAAATGGTCCAGTCCTTCATCAACCTGCCTTAGTCCTTAGGCTTAGGCGCTTCTCTACCTCGCAACACAACCATGGCAGCTAGAAATCTAACAGTAACAGATTCTACAAAATAAAAGGAATTTGCGCGTTGTTTTACAGCATCTTTTTTTTTTTTTTTTAATTTCAGTCTCACACCTACAAAGAACACTGAACCTCCTGACTTTGAGATTTTGACTTTAGTCTCTGGCCTAGCCTATCTCGCGGCCGTGGCATTGCTGTACACTAGGCCTACTGTGAAGTGTGATGCCTCACGACTCACAGAGATGCGAGCAATCTAGCCTAGAGCTAGAATTTAGATCTAGAGTTTATACTAGATTCCACAACTTTGAGAAACGATTCAAAATAAATATATAAAAATTTTAATCTTACTTTTCCAGCTGTAGACATGGTTTCTCTGCGAGGTTGGTGAAGTTTTCGTTGACTTGTTGAGATCAAAAAGCGTCCAGCAGCAACCGGCAAGCTCCGCTGATGAACTCGGGAGTCGGGAGTTGATCGAGAGTGACCTCGCTTGTTTGCTGCCTGGCCTTGATAAAGAGAGAGCGAGAGAGGGGCGGGGGTGGTTTTTGTGGCGGTGACTATCCGACGACGTTGGGTTCGAGTGCCGTGTGCAAATTTCGACTAGATCTATGTCTTCCCATTGACGTGTAGGAAACATGCCACATGGAGCCTTGGTGATAATGTAGTTTTATAATAAGCGACTCGAACTTCGTTTGGAACTTACTTTTGATGAGCGTGACATTTTAATTAGGGTTTTGGATGTTGTTAAAAGAAACAAGAAGAAAGCAGTAACTGACATGTTATGAGGAAAATTCAAAGCCAACAACAAGTTTGGGGATTAAATCTATTATTTGCGAAGCTACGCACCATGGAAGTTTTCGAAAATGCAAGAGGAATTAGGAATGGAATTATTCTAATAGGGCCCTTTTTTAAAATCTTGTACTCACAT